TTTTGAATTAAGTTATATTATTATAATTATATAATTTTTATAATAGAGGCCTTCTTAAGCGACCTCTGTATAGAATAAAAGAAGTTAAATTTAAAAAAATAAATAATAATAGATAAAAAAAATAATAATAAATTTAAAAAAAAAATTTTTTGACAAATTAATTATTTTATTAATATTTTTCGTTAATACAATCAATATAATATAACAAAAACGTTATTATAGCACTATAACTAAGCCATTTATGAGTACTGAGTGGTGTGGTAGAGGCCTGAGGTACCCACGCCAGTAGCGCTTTTCTGCCGCTTATGTACATTTTCTACGGAACTACTTCAAATATTTTAAAAAGTAATCAGTGTTTTAGAAAGAGAAATGTATTCTCCAGATGTTTTATTTCAGCACGTTTTGCATTATTGTTGACCGTTCAATTACAAACGACGCTTGATTTTCAACTTGAAAATTTTTTTGTAAAAAAAATTGACTTTACCGATTTTTTTTAATGCCTAAACCAATTAGTTTTTAATATTTTTTCATGTTTTATTATTCTATGACTATCCAGCTTTAATAAAAGACCAACTATAATGAAATTAAGCCAAATGCTGATTCTCAGTAACAAAAAAACTAACTAAAGTCAAAGTCGTCAATCCGCCATGTTTGGACGCCATTTTGGGGCAGTTCGTTCACTTTTTTTTGTGGGAACATTGGCTTTTTTTTAATAAATTGTCACAAGGAACACAACGATATGCAATTTATAGGGATGTGGGGGGGGTGCACGGTAAGGGGGTCTGGCCCACAGACTATTAAGGTGAGGAAGGAGAGGACAAAAATATATATATAAAAGATCGTTTTAAAATGTCGTATGCTATAATAAATGCTATACTTCGTTACTTTTGAGATACTTAGCCCTGGTTGCATAAATATTTCTTTATAACAAGATTTTTGTAGCCATAATAAATCAGATTGCAGACCCAACATATTTCGAAAATTGTTATTAGCAAAATTTTAATAGCATTGTAGAAAAAACAAGCAAGAAAATAAGTGTTAAATATGTTTGAAGCTTCCGCTCCAAAAAAAGTCTACAAAATTCATAGAAAGAGAAAAACGTAGAGCCATAAATTTAACGATGCGTTTTCGATTAAATTGTTGAGGGTTTTGGAACGTTTTCGGTCAAACTTTTATATTTTTTGTATTAAAAATATTAATATAAATCCGCGCTTAACATTTTACCATTAATATTATAATATTTTCTGCATATAATATATATATATCTGATTAATGTACCCCTAACATTTGCTGTTAATATTATAAGATTTTTGTCATTAATATTTTAATGCCACCTATTTACACCGGTCAGTAGCCAAATGTCATTAACACCATTTTAAACCACGCTTCTGACTAAAATGTTGTTAAATTCCGTCTCGCTGTCTTCATAAGAGATTACGAAACATTATTACTAAAATTGTTAATGAGTGAATAGATGTTCCTTATCAAAAATGAAACTCTATTCAGTAAAAACTATTTATTAATATAAAGCTTATTTATTTATAAAAAATAAATAGTTTTTGCTACTTGATATTTCTTTTTGAATGCCAAGACGGCCATCTTTTGACCTTTTATGTAAGGTCAACTTATAAATATCCATAAAGTTATTAATATGCATGTATGTAATCTAAGCTGTGTCCTAAACGTATAAGTAAAGTTGAACATAAAGGATGCAGTTTTCATTGTTCTGTTGATATTTGTATTGACAATCTGATGTACATGTTACTGAAAAATGTAATAATGTTAATAGAAGTTTTGAACAAAAGTGAAATTGACATCTCCAACAAAATGGTATAGCTGAATGAAATACAACTTTATTTACCAAAGTTATTTTTACATTGTTATGTAAGATTTAAGTTACATGTCAATAGCTCGTGATATTACCGACGTTATTTCTGGTATAAACCCACCTTCAACTACTTAATTCTTGGTTTCTCAATCCAATCTTATCCAAGTTTGTCCTTGGAAGCTCTCGCAGACATATATATATATATATATATATATATATATATACGATTTAAATAATGTTTTAATATTAATAAATTAAATTTAATATTAATACATTTATTTATTATTTAACAACTTTCTCTATTTTTTTCATTACACAAAAAACTATTAGATTTATAATTCGCCTCACTTAGTTTGGTCTTGTTTAAAAAAAAAAAACTTACTACCAGTAATTTTTTTTAATGATAACCAATTATAAATGAATCAAAAATATACAGGTATGAGATAATTCAGACGTTAAAACGTCATTTATATGACATAAATTTATGTTGTTTTTTTTTCTCAATTAGAATGAAGGTATTAAATTGAACTGTGGGATAAGTTACGAGATTATCATGTGAAGCCATCAATATCATGAAGGGAAGGAACATCAGATGGTATAGCATCTTAACGGTGTCGTGGTCTTAAAGTCTCGGGAGATTTCAATTCCTACGTATTTACATTCTAGACGCATTTCAATATAAAATTATGTAATGTAATGTTTCCAAATTTAAATCCTTAATAGCTGAATTCATAATACCTGAGAATGCTTCTCTAAATATAATTTATCATTGTTCACATAATATTTTTAATACTTAAAAATATTATTTCATACCGAATTAAATTTTTGCTACTGATGTTTCTATTTTAAAAAAATTTTAACATGTCAGCTTGTGATATCACGCCTACTGAAATTTTCTGTACTCCTTAAGGAGCTCCGAAGAGGGGGGAAGGAGGATGTCGGTCCCCCGTCTAATATAACATGTTACAAACTGTCTTCCTCTCGGCTTTCTTCCTGCAAGAGGATCTGAAGATAGTTGTCAGCATATAGTTTATGTTTATGTTTGAAGAAAGGGAAATCTGAAAATTATAGGTTAAATAGGAGACCTGAATTGTTGGAGACCTGCAGATAGCAACTGGGTTTGATTATTTTTGTTATGGAGACATGAGCGAAGAAGTTGGATTATGTTGGATGAGGATTGATATATGAAAACAACACATTTGATTACTTCGATTTCGTCGTTTATCCGTTTATATATTTTACATTGTTTGTGGAATTAAAAACGACTTATTTACAATACACATAAATATAAATATTCACTATAAAATAAAATCTGCTTTATCAATGCTATGCATATATTCATCGTAAATATAAACATCTAATTAATATATTTTTTATATGTATATTACCTTTTATATTTTGTATTTATTATATTATTTTCCTGGTTTTATATTTTTTCTTTTCGAACTTAATCTGTATTCCGATTGGTTTCAGCAGGATGGGTGTTCGTATATCCCTGTTCAATCGTCAAATATGTATCAAGATAAAATTATCTGAATAGACTCTCTTTAAGCAAATTCCTATAGTTAATTTTTTTTTTTTTTTTATGCGATAAGAAACATAGTTTCTTATTTCTACAAGCGTGAACCATTTCCCACATGCATAAAGGTAATCTCTGAAATCTCCATTAAAATCTTAGTAACGTAATGTGTTATATTTGTTAGTTCGATTTACGGACAGGAATAAACAACTTTTAATTATCATGAAGTAAGTCGAAAGGACTTACAAAAACCAAGTCCCTAGTCAGGCTCCATTGGGATTAAAAAAAACAACAGAATTCATCAGTAGATTAAAACATTATCTCTAATAATAAACACATTACAATTAAAACAACACTTTAAATACCTGACAATGAAAAAAGTTCGATCGTCATATTAATATTTCAATCATTTTTCAATAATCATAAAAAATAATTATTTTATAAATTGTAATGTACACTGTTTTAAGTTAATGTTTTTAACGATAATATCGGTAAGATAATTAACGAAACGATGATATTTTCATGATTTTAACCTTTGAAACAGGCATGTTTATATTGCTATTATTCTTATTAGTGCATATCGGAAAGATTTAATGTTATTTGGCTGATGTGTGAAAAAGAATGCCGCAGCATATTGGGTTAGGTAAATTAGAGTTTTGTATACAAATTAAATGGTATTAATTTTTTTCATTCGCAAAAACAGATTCGAAGTGACGTTTTCGAAAACCTGAAATGTTTTCGATTAACTGGTTAACAAAAAAACGTTTTTTTATGAAATTTTTAACATAGTTGAAAATAAATCCAGCAAGGGAAACGTACCGGTAGTAGATATTTTAAGAGAAACTTCCATCATTAATTTGAACCACAGCTTTAGTTCTGATGGTGGATCTTTGAAAATGGGTTTAGTTTGCCAGTAAATTTACACAGACAACATATATTGAAACAGTAATAGATACCCAGGTATTGTAGTCTACAGTTGTTTGTTTTTATAAATTAAAAAACCCATAATAATTTTTCACAGTTTAAAACGAGGAAGTGAGGAACTGCAGATGAATAAATCAATATTACTCTGAAAATATTAAAAAATTATGTCTTAAAGTATTATTGCTGGTTTAATTACATTGAATAGAACTTCAAGAATCATTTAAACACCATTTCATATAGGTACTTAGTATCTTTCTGTTTTTCCAAAGTACTTATCGTTATATATATATAAAAAAATTGTTTTCGGGCTGAAGCCCCCCCCAAAAAAAAAAAATTAAATCCTGGATCTACTAATGCTCCGAAATTTCTTTGCTCCGAAAGTTATATCCCAAAGAAAAGTGATAAGGCGTCCTTAAAGAAAGACTTGCCCCATTAAAAAAAATCAACAGTCAACCGTCTATGGTGACATGTTATAACTTGAGGTTCAGGCGTCGCCGTATGTGTGTTTTGCGTCAAATCAGGCGTATAAAGCTTATTATTTTTTAAGAAGTTGGAAACAGTCCGTCACTGGTCGATATTAAAATAAAAATCAAAAATTCGCTTCGGACATCTAATTCATGTTGAGACCGGTCGATGCCTACAACTCCTACTCCGCGAGATCCGACAGGCAGAGGGGGCACAAGGCCAACCCCTCCTCCGAGCGAGAGGTTCAGTCAGTGTTGTGCCGCCATGGCTGTCATAACTATGACGGGGAACGATCGCACTCAAGACACGACCAAAGATAGTGGAGTGTAAGTTTCATCTTGTTTGTACTGAGTGTTTAAACATGATTTTTTGTTTGGTGAACTAAAAAAAAAGAAACATGAGGTGAGCTTATTTCTGTCAATATTTTCTTGAAACTACTGACGAACATACGAAATCTTATTTGGCGATTATGTCATGGAGTGTCTCAGTCAACAATTGTTTACGTCAATGCGTAAAAAAACAAACAATAAGCGTTATCTTTACAAGTGTGGAAGAACCTTACAATGATATAGCATTTGTCAAATATTTGCCGTTCCATTCTTCAATTATTACATCTGTACTATAGTATAACATATATAGTTTCAATAAACTAGGATTTCAATTCTAAATAATTTACTAGTAAACTGGTAAAATTTAAAACCCTATCGTAATATCACTGCCAAGGCTTAATAAGATCACCTTTTTAAATACCTATAATTTTTATTTTATTTACAAAGCCTATAGTTGTTTAATTATTATTAAGAGTCATATTAAAATTTGTATGCAAGCTTCATTTATGTATTAATTGTTCTTTCTAAGGAAAAAAGTGGCTGTCTTACGACTGAAATAGCGCGCTCTGGTTTCTTGTAAATGGACCAATCCTAGGAGGTGGGGGTTACGTCCTTCCTTTTATAACCTTTCGAGAATCAATAAAAGATATTTTTTTACAATTAAACAACCATAATACGAAATTTCGTATTGGTTTTAAAATAATTAATTGCCTTCATAAATGTTTTTATCGTTAAGAATGTAGTATTTTAGGAGTTCCAATCGCCATGACTTCACTTTTTAAATAATTTACTCTTGATTCGTACCTGTCACAGCATAAAAGTGACGATCAGCGGGTTCTAATACATGACATGTAATAAATGACTTCATTTTTAATGCACATATCTAGAAAGTGATTTTTTGTATCTTCATTTGCTGCCCATGAATCCTTCCCAGATACTCCTCTTACTATCTCATGGACTCCCCAGACAGCTCTACTATCTCCATTATCCTATTATGGTCCTCCTATCTGTCTAGTTTAATATGTAAAAATAATCTCTATTTGTTTATAGTCTAAATGCTAATAAAATAAATGGAATATATTTTTCTTCAGTCCTTTATATGAACAGCTTTCGTCTAAGTAAATAATATTTCATAAATTAAGAACTATCCTCTTTATTAATTCTTTTTTTCTTCATATTTTTACTTTTTCATATTTTTTAAAAAACTTAATTAAATGTTGAATTAAATTTGCTTAAAATTTCTATTCACCTTAGGCAATTATATAAACTAATAGCACACAAGTTATATGCTTAAATTACATAATTGACAAGTTGGGTGTAATGAAGGTGTAAAAAAAAAATTGATTAATTAATACATTTTTTTTTCGCAATAAAGGTGTTCTATAGATGCTAGTAGATAGAAGTGAAAACATTAATTAGATAGTTTCGTAACCTATTCATGACCTCTATTGTCCCTCATATACACACGAATTAATACAGGTCAGTATTAATATAAAATAATTATATATCCTTGTTTAAATTTCACATATCACATGTTTTTTTTTCTATCCAGTTAATATTTATCACATTTAAAATAGAGGTAAATAGATGTGGGTGGGTAAAAAAATAATATGTTTTCCTTTTTTTATTTTTATTTTTTTTTTAACACCGACTATATCGTAAAGCTGAGTTTAGAATTTGGTATACTATGTTGCTATCTAATCCTTCAAAACCATGGCTGTCTAGAACGTTCTTTAAGATTCAGTATGTCAAATTATTTGAGAAAGATTTAATTTAATTGTATTGCATACTTCTGTTGCAAACATAAACTATTTATTTTACTCGAGGAAATTTTCATATTTCCACACAAATACCTTTCTATAATCAAACCATTGAATCAAGGAACATAAACTAATTTTTAACTAATAATCGAAGATTTTCTCACGGTTTAAACTAATATTTTAGAAAAAAAAAACCGTCAAGTAGTTATATGATTGTAATCATTTCTATAGATATGGTATATAATTATATAATTATAATTATAAACATTTCTATAGATATGATTATAATTATAATTATTCTTATTCCCAATTTGTAACCATAATTTCTTTCAACTTGTCCAGCTTCATATAAGCCCAACGTCAATTTGAGCCTTTTATTTCTAATATTTTCGTTGTACTTTGTGCTTCCTTTTCTATTTCATAATAATTATAATTATATCACAATATTATATAAATAATAATTAATATATTGTATTCAAGGCGGAAATGTCTAGATCGAAAAATAACTGCTCTCACCTAGGTAAAATCAAACTACCTTAAAAAACATGGCTCTCTAGAATGTTCTTTAATTTTCAGTGTGTCAAATTATTTAAGAAAGATTTTTGATTTTATTTTATTGTATACTTTGTTGCAAATATTAACTATTTATTTTATTCTAGAAAGTTTTCATATTTGATAAATGATATTTAGCTGAGGATAGTAAACATTTGAGATTGAAATTGAATGTTATAAAAAGAAATTATAATATAAACTAAGGGAACAATCGATGTCCAACCCTATATATAAATTTTGTCAGTCATTTGTTAATTTTGAAGTTTCGAGTTAGAAAATATTTAAAATTTGATTGGATTCAGCAATTTATTAATAATTATTTGTTAATGTTTGTATGTTGGTTATGTTATATATATTCATTCATTGGATGTTCACATTAAACATTTCTGCAGTCTTAGATCAGATATTTCCAAACCGTTAAAAACTCTTTTTTAATTGTTACTGTCGTCAAATAATTATTTAAAGATGCATAAATAGATGAATTGCCTTGAAAAAAGTTATTTGTTTAGTATAACGTATGATCTAATTATTTGTCAAATTAAAGTAATTTTATGGGTTTAATTCATGAAAACTTTGTGGAACGGACTTGTAACTTATCTAGGGACATGGACAACTAAGATCAATCAATTTCTTATCATTTGTAGTAAACCGATAAGGCAGGACATGTGAAGACATCTCATCTTCTAAGATCTGATCTATACGTAACAAATTTTAGACACATTGGTGTATGACAAACCGTTTAACCATGATTCTCTTGTTAAAAGCGAATCTACCATAATGGAATCAGATATATTTTTTTTTCATAACCCCAGTTTTATATATAATTTGGTTTCTTATATATGTTTAGGATGTTGCTTGTGCTGTATCTTACATACATTTTAAGGTCTTGCTGAGCCTTTCTTATTTCTGTTTATCTTTGTTACTTGACTTCCAGGCTGGGTGGTGGGGTTCACCTCTATCCTGATAATAATGATCTACTAATGAAATAAGACTTTATTGGGGTTATTGATTTAAAAACTATTGACGTTCTAAAATATTTATAAATTTATCAATCACATATTTTTAAAAAAAGAGTACTAACATAAGCACAGACACTCGATTTTGATTGAGGAGGGGTGGACAAAAAAAATTCGCCAGAAAAAAAAATTCAACATAATTATTGTGACACGAGCAAATTTAATATTGAATATTTAAAATTAATTTGTTTATATATTTGAATAGTTGTAAAGATTTTTTTTTTATATTTTTTGTTTTACTTATTATATATACTTGAAAATATCAATGAGAAATACAATTGAATATATGACGTATTAGTTTAGATTAAACAGAGGAGGAGAGGGGAGACAGCCTTCATAAGATTCGTACATTTCTAGAACTTTTTCAACTAAAAAAAATAATGTAAAAAATGAAAAATATCTCATTATGTACAATCTCAAATAAAAAATAGACTGTTTTTCATAGCCCGAATAGTTATTCGTGGAAAATGTGATAAGAATATCACATGAAAATTGATCGACACATTGTGTGGAAATCAAACTATAGTCTAAATGAATTTTTTATTGATGTTAAGGTCTTCCAACACCTCTTTAAATGTTACTCGATATTTATGGGACACTCTATAGAGATTTTAGTGTAAAGATATATAGTTTTTATGTATCTGTTTTTCAAAAGCGATATGATTCGATTTGAGTAATCTTATTCTCGTTTGTGATTACTGTTTAAGACCAAACCCACTTCATCATTTTGCACCTAGTCCCAATCCGCATCGTCTTTGCTGAAATCTTCCATGGACCAATTCTCAGTGCGTTGACTATTGCCTCTTCATCTCCGTCAATATCTTCCTCTCATTCATCTGCCACCAGATAGGCCAAATAGGCAAAAAAACATTTGCTGTTTTTTCGCCATCGAGGATACATATTTACAAGTTGTATTAATGTCGGTTCCCCTTCTCATCCCCATTTAGTATCAACTTTACTTGGCCATCAATCTAACATTTTGTTTTTAGATTTGTTCAATTATATCATAGAGATTTTTAAAATAATATTTTTGTCAATTTAAAAATCTTTAACTTGATATATTTTAAAACCTCAGTGTCATTCGTTACATGGGGCCCCTACAAAGTTGCGTAGCTATTTTTACTACTAAATCCCTACTTATTTCCCTACTATATTACTTAAGTCCATAGGTGCAGACTTTCGATTCTGATTGGGGCGACGACGGTCCAAAAAAAAAAAAGAATTACAGAAGTTTTAATGATCTGTAAAAATTCAACATAATTATTTCGAAAGGAACAAATATAACATTGAATGTTTAAAATTAATCTGTTTATATGTTTCTGTTTAAGACCAAACCCTATCCGGCACCCAGGCCCCCATTATGTTAATTGTAAGGATTTTCATTTTTATATTTTACTTAATACATATACTCGAGAATATCTAAAAGAAAATACAATTGAATATATAACGTATTTGTTTAGATTAAAAACAGAGAGCGGAGAGCAGCCTTCATAACATTAGTACATTACTAGAACTTTTTCGTTTGAAATGTAAAAAAGTGAAAAATATCTTTAAATTCTCAGTGTGTACAACCACAAATAAAAATACATTTTTCAAAGTCCGACTAGTTTGCCGCGAAAAATGTGTGAAGAATATCACGTGAAAGTTGAGAGGTAATTAACTCATAAAA